AACAACAAACCATGATCACAGTATGATGAATTTTGTGGAAATAGTTAAAACTTGCCACACATGTGCCTCGAGAAAAATGAAAGAGCAGCAAGAAACCATGCTTAGCTCAAGGCAGTCCTGCTTTGGCAGAAGGGAGCAGATAAGAACTGCAAGATCCAAACTGAATTTCAGACTGGGCTGTCAGTGTCCATGCTTCCCACCAGTCAAAGCAGCTGGTTCCCCACAAGCAAGAACTTTTTTTTACTTAGTCCTCTACTTCCTTCCCTGATTTTCCCCAACCCAGGTCTCAAAGGATTACAGAGAAAGTCCTGTGCTGTATGAAATAATTTTGTGGATGCTTTGTGGACTGTGGTATGATCCAGAAAATTAAATTCATGCTATTAAAATTGTTGCCCCTATTTCTCCTACATAACAGTGAACRTATTTTCCTGTTGCATGTGTCTAAACATTCTACTAACAAGGTAATGTCCACCTTTTGATAGTCCTTTCATACCTTTTGGCAGCATTGCTTGATTTGCATGAAACCAAACACAAGCTACCTATTATTGCTGAATTCAAATGACTCCTGAAAAGAAGAAAATYGGAGATCTAGCAAGGTGAGGGAAAATATTTACCTTTCCAAAGGTAACGTGTTGCATGTGCTAAAAAGAGCATCATCTTCACATCAAATCAAGCAAGGTACAGGATTCAAGAAACAACGTGCCAAGAGGCAATTTYTCAGCAAGATGTTAGCATCAGAACACAAAGTGATGTGTCTGGAAGCAGAACTGCTGAGCTGCAAACAACCTGGGTGTGAGTCAGAGAATATTAGGACAGTGTCTGTCCACCAGGAATACAGACTTGATTGCATGTGACTTGTGTCAACTCTGGAGACATCAAGAGCAGAACACAAAAGCAAGGCAACAGAGATATTTCTAAATGAGCCATTCAGCCTCTGAGGCAATGAATCTGGCAACAACTCAAGTTTCAGGAGRAAAAAAAGTCAACATTCCAGGTTTGTGTTCCACGGTTATATCCTTCATTCATTTTTCTCAGGCAAAAGGTCACCGAAACGTCATGTTTTAAATCATTAAAAGACACAATCAATCCCCTTTCAAACTAGTCCATAACTTTGAAACCAGAATCCAATTGCCTGTTCAGGCTCATTAGTGTCTTTGGATCCTAATGACCCACTCAGTTGCAGCAAATGAAAAACTAATCCTTGTTTTATGCCATTGGCCGAAAAGGATTAGCCAACTCTTGCTACCCCTGCAATCAGCCTTGCACTGGGGGGATTATGACCATCTAATACTGTAAGTCTACACATTCCAATCTGTTACAATATGTAGCACTTAAAGCTTATTTCCTTGAAATGCTTAAACGTATTAATGCTATAGTGTAAGATTGTTTTCTTAGGATGCAGTGATTCTCCTGCCCCTGCCCCCAAAGCCCGCATTAGCTCATGCAGGGATGCCCTATTACTTCCAATGTGAAGTTTTAATTGTGTTCATGGTCTTGAAATGAAAAATTAAAAATATTTATTTCTTTCCATTGGGCCTAGACTGGGGAGGTAACGATGCACAGAATTTCCATGGGGTTCAGTGCTGTAATTTAAGATGTAGTTAGAAATAAAGCCACTATTTCCATACAATGTTCTCTGATCTAGTCTGTGGGTTGCAACTCCCATTTTGTAYCACTTGCATCACTGCAGTTTTTCCAACCCAGAATTCTGATTGCTTTTGCTCTATTAGATATAAAATCACTGAGCAATTCAATGAGTCTGCAGTGTCCCAACAAACTTCTTTGTTTTCCTGAAAGTATTCACACAATGTTGCCATTGGCAATTTAGTGTGGTAAAGASACAATTTTAACACTCTCAGATGCACTATTCATACAGGTTTTCTGATATAAAATATAAATAACTCTTGTGGTTTTATCACTTTAAGTATTATAYGTAACAAAATTTGTCTTGCAGAGAKKTATRCTGGGCATATAAACTTTAGATAAATAGACTTGGACTGAAGCTACAAAAATTCTTAAATTCTGAATGCAAAACTTGATTTTTGAGTGGGACCAGTTTGCTGAATGTCTAATTTCCTTTCAAAAGTGGTGTCTTAAGGCATAAAGCATCAGTACATGATAATAAATCTTATATTCGATAACCACTAGAAATCGTTAGTCTTTACCTCATTATTTCTAAATTAATTTTTGGTGTCAATTTATACAACACTTGCTTATTAGCCAAATATCCCCAAGCATTTATAAACATGCTTTACACTTATGCATCAGTAAAATTATCAGTAAAATAGTAGATGGTGCGCCAGTCACAATGTTATATTACTTTACAAATCAAAGCAATTTATTGCAGGACAAGGCAAATGTGAAGAAATGTCCTCTGTGTTATTTCTGATCAGAAAAGTGACATTWCCATGTAACTATTATTTCTGTTGGAGAAAGCAAACTGAGACATCAGTGTCCTCCTCACCACAGCAGCAGGTAAGAGTGTAAACTTGATTRGTAAACTTCTTCAAACATTTTACTCAACAAATTCAAAAATTGGTTTATTCAGATATTACTATATTTCCTACAAGTTTGGTGACAAAATATTCATTATTAATATTTATTTAACTTAATGGAGCTTGGTASATTAGCTTTTACAAGCAATTTTTCAAGTGAAACAGTTTTCTGTCAAAAACTTCATAAAAAACTTAAGTGGAATAGTAAAGATATCTGGGATCTAAATAAACATTTGCCTTCTGGTTAGGATACTTYCACAAGAATCAAAGTCAAATCCCTGCCTTGCTTATTTAAGAGGGTTTTTTTGCTGTTAGYACCTTTGRGCTTGGTTGTGAGCCTGAACTCTGYTTTTCTTGGTGCACTCCAAGGAGATAATGAAAAGGCACAGCCCACCTCCATGGATTCACAGCACAAGTGCACAGTGTCACCATATTGCCACTTTGCTGACAGCTGCACTGCTTTTAGGGGATTACAGCTCCCAGCTGCCACTGCTGCTGGAGCTTCCTGGGCTCCAGCTCAGTTGTAGTCACTGTGTGATACCTGYAGTACCTGGCTTTTCCTCTCAAGCAACCCTTGTTACACTGACCAGAGAATCTCTCTCTACTCAGCTTTCAGGCTAAAACTGGGTGTAGCAGGTGAGTGTGTAAAAGGCAAACAAAAATTACGTCGGTCAGTGAGATACATACCAGTGCAAGCAATCCAGCAACACAACTGCTCTTGATTTTATAGGCAAAACAAGGGATCATTTTAGGTGGAATTTGACAGATAACCATGAAAAAAAATCTCAGTGTGGGTTTATAAGCAGTTCATGCTCTTAGACCTCAGAAATGCATCCCAAATGCTGAGTGGCTGCCTCTTCTGAAGCAGCTTTCTCTGCTTTGTTGTTAATCAGCCTATCCAATTTGTGTCAGCAAACATCCAGCAAGACCTAGGACTTTGGTTTCTCCCACTTCAACCTGCAGCCTTGACTTSCTGGCTGTAACATCAGAGGCATGGATAACAGAATTCATCAGGAAAGAGCTTCAGTTATGGAATAACTCAGCAAGCAAAATTCTATTTTCTGGCTTTCTGAATGATCTCAGAATATCTATCAGCCATGTACCATAAAAAACTCTCCCAAAAAAAACAGATACAGACTTAAATTTACCTCTGCCTTAGTTTTTTTTTTCAGACTGACAGGTATGCAGTAGGTTAGAAAAGCTGTGAGTCACTTCTTAATAGCTGGACTTCAGCAGGATTTCACTAAAACTTCTGTATTAACATTCAATTTAAAAAAAAAAATCCAGCTTCCATAAATCTCTAGGCACTAATAATTAAGTAAAGCTTGACCACATGAAATTAGTCCTGAGGCATTTAGGAATTTGGCAGAAAAGAAACAGTGGCATAGGTGACCAAGTGTTTGGCCATTAAGGGCTTTGCAGGTCACCAGAGGGAATTCCTCTTTAGACTTTGCTGACATTTTTTTTGCAGACTGTGCAAACCTTGCAGGTAGGATGCTTTTTGGCCATTTGTTCCTCTCTCTCARTCTGTGTGTCTGGCCCATTTGTGCATTTGCAATGCCTTCTGTGAAGTGTGCTGAATGATGTGGTCCTCCCTCTATTTTACTTGCTGCAGTCAGGGAGGGAGTTTACTTCATAGGAAGTGACTGGGAAAATTAATTCCCTCATAAATTCATAAGGAGTTTCAAAAATCAGTAACCTACATTTCACATGTAGTAGAAAAAAAACTCCAAAGTGATCTGGTACCTCCTTCAAAGGCTGTAAATGTGAAAGTTGTGGTTCTAGAGAAGATGGTTCTGAGGGATTTCCCGGGCACAGTACTCTGGTGATTCARAACAGGCAACATTCCTTGCTGAGTAACCCCAATATTGTCTTAGCAGCCATTCTTTCCATAAGAAAAGGCATTTGTGAAGAACTGAGGGAAATACTTGTACTGACCAAAGCTCCACTTTGAGAACTGTCTCTATCAAATTTGAAAGAAATTAGATAAAGAGCAAGAAACTCCATTTGAGGATTTTGAGTAAAAACAAAGAAATTGAAATGTTAAGTATTAATTGCAACATTGTTTAAATTCGGATATTAAGAAATACCTACAAAACTTTATATAAAATGAACAAAAACATTGCTTTAAAAAATTTATTAATCAGCTGTTAYACATAATAATCAGGAACGTCTTTAATTCAAATTCAGCTTTTACTGCTACATTCTTACTAACACATTCTTACAACAKTCTTACTAACACAGGTAATTTAGTTTATACCAGAAGCTCCAAGTTCTCATCTAGATGTTTAAATGCTCTCAAACAGACATTGAATTAATGCACTACTGTAAAATGATATTTCTGCTGCTTGTGAGTGGCAATTTAGCAAGAACATATCATAACATTTTATGAAAAAATACATTTTAAAGATAAACAAGTAATATAAAAGCTGCATCTCAAAACGTGTGGTTGATGAACACACATTACAGCAATTGCAAGAATGTATTCTTGCAAGGAATGGAAGGAGAAGATGAAATGCTTTGTATTTTAACTTAAGAAACTGAAAACATTTGTCAAGGCTAAGTAGGAAAATAATTTAAAAGGAAGTCAAAGGTATTCAAAAGCGTGAAAATGGCTTTGTATTTTGTAAGGAAGAATGAAAGCCTTTCATAGACAGAGGCTGTGATGATCCCTGATCCTGTCCAAATGCAAATGGAAAACTAAAGTCATCTTTTCCATCTCCAAATGCATGAGAAGTTGGATCCGAGGGGAAGGGAAAGGCAAATGCATCCTCACTTTCTGGTTTCCCAAAGAAGCTTCCTATRTGGAATACATATAATATTTATCATTAGTTTAAACATTACCAAGAGTGTACTGCATTCAGCATATGTTTCCTTATTAATATATTGTGTCAAATATCCCAGTGCCCATGAACCYACAGCTGTGTGTTTATTTCTGTGCAGATACAGTATTTCCAGGGGATGGTTGTTACAATCTACATTGAAGGAARTGTGAAGTATTTGAATTATTTAGAWCAATAAAATATTTCTGCATKATACATTTTGCAGCAGAGGTATTTGCAAACAGAATCTGCAAAATGTTTCTTTAGAGGACAATGTGATCAATGATTGAAATACTTGGACTTTTCTTTCTGCCTTGCAGCTCCTCTCATTTTGTTTCAAATGCACCTACCACTATCCCTATTTCTTTCCATACCTTTTCATTTCCATGATACACCAAACATTTGGAGCCAAACATGGAAGGAAACATTTTAACTAATTAAAACACAGATGAGCACAATAAACCACTGAGCTACATTATCACAACTGAACATCCTTTCAGACAACCAAAGGTACTCTGTCAGGCTGGACCAGGAACTTGCTGGTCATATAAACACAAGCAGAAGAGAGCTGGTATACACAAGCACATCTGAGTTTCAGACTTACCAATATCTTTGTGTGAAGACAGAGAGTTCAGGTTTCCCACAGAGAAACTTTCCTCTGTCTGAAATGTAAATAAATTTTTATTTAACAAATGAGAAAGGCAAAAGATTAGCTCTAATGTTGATATGTAATATGTTCATTTGCTTTTGGTGAGGAAGACACTGTCTCAGCAAATGTTAGAAGCCTTAAAAAAAATCTGTATTTAAAGGTATTTATCAGTCCCTAAGTTGCAAAGTAAGCTGCTTGATCAGAAGGGGCTTATGATATTTGCATGTAGCTGCAAACATCCCCCTTCCATTCTTCTAAGGAAAAAACAGACTGATTGTTCAAAAGCTGACTTGACTTACTGCTGGTTTTTTAAACTAAAAATATTCAAAATTATTCAATACTGAGACATTTTATAAAAAACTCCAAGCAGCAATACAAATACTTCCTACAGAGTAGGGCCTGATATTGCCAGAAAGATTATCAGGATAAGCCCTTGTCATTCTTGAAAAGTGTTCTTAGATGAGACTTAAAATAGATACTGAAGTCCTTCAAAACTCCCATCTAACTTCAAAGAAACACAGGTCTGCTACAGCCTGATAAATTCTTGGKTTTTTCTGCTGAGCAGGCACAAAATAATGTTGGTTCTGATGGCACTAGGTGGCTTAAAACTCACCTCATTTCTAAGCAATTCAGCAATCACTCACCAGTGTGTTCACTCCTGCAGGCAGCTCATGCTATGAGACACCAACCACACGTATCTTGCCAAAGCCAGGATAAAATGGTGCTGCMCTTCATCCCTCCTTCAGCTTCCAGCCAGTAACACAGGAGTGAGCACACCCACTAAAACAGGAGCTACCTGGGCTCAAATCCCTTATTTGCATAACAGGTTTTGGATCTACGCTGCCAAGTGATATCTAAGCCCTGTCTTACACACTCATCTATCCTGGATTCCCAATTATCTACCCAATAGCTCAGGAGAGGAAAAATTACTGTAGAGCACTGGGGTTGGGGAAGCTGCAAAGAAAAAGGAAAACCTGGATTCCCTTCCCTGTTCCATCTGTGGCCTACCTAGCTCCTCCATTTGAGTATAGCTAATCCATATTTGTTCAGTACCCTAACAGATTGTCCTTTTTTCCTTTCTCACTGTTCTTTACTTGATCAAGACAAAACCATGCAGAAGAAGCATGTGAGTTCTGCCAGGGAGCCTAAATTTTGCACTGTAACACTGAACCAGAAGCCTTTTGGTGAGTTGGGTCACTGTATCCATGTGATCCATGTGAGAAGGACTCACAATTGATTAGAAGTCATCATAGGGGGATTGCCAGGAAAGGAATTAAATATTTTCAAAGGACAGCAAATRAAAATTAACCAAGATATTAAAAATTGTTTGCTACAAAGATAGCCAGTCTGAAAAATCTCGTTCACTGTTCATGCTGTTTTGTTCACATATTTTGCTTTGTGGAAATTTGATGTTCACCATGAATCRTTCTTACCTCATCAGATGAATTTTGTGCTCCAAACAGAGAAGAATCAAATAAATTAAACCCAGGTGACTTCTGGGAGAAGTTCATGAGAGAAAAGAAAGCAGGAGATTTTGATGGTCCTTCTTCACAATCTAAATTTTGAATGCTGTAAATATAGGAAGGAAGAAACAATATTAATAATTTCTTTAAGTAATGTAGAGGGGTTTTTTCCTTCCATTTTTTACTTTTTCTCCTTTTTCACTTTTTTTTTACATTCCCATAAATTCTATCAATAATTGCTTTTTGCATCACAGAACAGATAACGCAGTTCTTTAAAGTAAAATGAGATGGGTGTTCCTACCAACTCCTTGCCTTTTAACAAAAAACAACCTAAAAACCTTGTTTGAAAATAGGAATCAGAATAACAAATATTACTGCAGGAAAAGACAATGTGTCTCATATATTTCTAAGCAAAGTACCGATCTTTCAAAACAGCTTCATTCGGAAACTACATTTTTAGAAAATCTTAATAAATGTAAAACATAAGTCAGGAAGAAATCCGAGTATTTTCAGAAGAGCTTCTAAAAAATTCTTTCTCTAGTATCTTTCACAAAGAACAGAAATCCTTGTACAATAAACATGAGTTCAACTTTTTTCTCAGAATCAAAATAAAAACTGAAATCATACAAGTCAAATGGAGGTGTTTTAGAGATCTGTGGTTTTTTCCCCTTCAAGTCAGGTGTTTTAGGTACTCTTATGAAAGGTTCTGCACTTTCTACTGCTATGTCAGGATTCTCTTCATTTGGCTTAAAACCTGTGTGCACATCCTATTAAAAAGAAATACACAATGATGTTTATAACATATAAAATTTCCCAAAATATCATTTTACCTATAAATATGTTCTCAGTGGAGCCAGCACTGAGCCTGTTTATTATAGCTCTATGCAAGACATGAGTTTTAAATGCAGCCTTTTCCCAAAACATTTAATCAGCTCACATTAATGAAAATGTTAGGGAACAATTGGTACAAAAAGTATGATGTGCATAGTATAGTCATCCTAAATAGTATTGTTAAGGCAGCACAAAACCCCTCAGAATACTGAGGTGATCAAGAGCAATGATAACCACATTACCAATCAGAGGGCATTGATTGGCTCTTCGCTGTTGTGTGCCTCATAATGAGTGACTTTASCAGTTTCTGAGACTTGTCTCTTGCCAGCCAAATCAAATATGCCAAAATATTTTGACTATTCTAGATAAATTACTTACTTATGACATGAGAAATGTTTTGCTTACTTGAGGTACATAGGAAGATTTCTTGGGCTCATCTGCTTCTTTATCAGCACGTTTGGCCTCCTGGCTCGCTGTACAAAAAAAGACAGCACTGCCTGAATCATAACAGCATTTTAAACAGACACATGGAAATTACAATGTGGGAAAGAATCCTTTCCCAGAAAGGTTTACTAACTTGGCATTGCTGTTGGTAAGGAAGTGTTCTGACTGTGGTTTTYTTAACAGCCCACTTTGTGGCTGTGTCCATAATAATTACCTCTTGTTCTGCCACTTATTCGCTATTGTTAAAGCCTTACTCAGGCTGCTTCTTGTRGTTTGGTGTGTTCTTCAAACCTTCCCATTGTTCCCTGAGAGTGCTGTGTTTGTCTACTCCAGCTACTGCCCTCTGAGAGTGCTAATACAAGTCAATAGAAACCAGGTGGGARCAATATAAAAAGCACATCCATGTGACAGTGATGAAGTGTAGTTTAAAGAACTGGGCAAGAGCCAGGAGGAGAAATGAGAAGGAACATTATCAGACTTTCTGCTATCAGAGTTTCTTTAGCTTCAGATTGTGCTACATCTCAGGCACTGTGGGTTAAGTGCCAATATTTCAGGACACAGAGTTAGTATTCTATTTGTAAAAAAATCTAGATTTTAGTTTTTACATGCTTGGCAGTACAAGTAGAAAAAGAAACATGAAGCTCAGTTCCTTGTGATTTCAAAAACTACAGGTGTATTTGTAACTACCCTGTTTTRTTTCTGAAAACATTCTATATGTTTTTCTCCAGTTAATTTTCATCTTTAATAATCTTAATACAATTCTTCAAGATACCTAAATTACTGTGTTTGTTACATCCCTTTTCTTTGCATTTTCTCATACCTTCTGAGTAGATGTTAAGATTGGATTTCATTTTACCCAGGTAATTTGAGCTTTGAGTGTGAATTTACARGAGATGTTGGACAGATCCTTTCATTCACAATGGTCAATGCAGATTAAATCCCACATCACTGAGCAGTTCAGCCCCTATTTAAATTAGTACTCTGCCTGACTGCTCCGCTCAAATTTTGAGCTGAATAATCAAAGTGGAAAAGAAATACAGATAGTGGCTCTTAGTACCAGAAAGAAAATTTGGTCCCTAGAATTTTCTGTTTTATAATTATATGGTCCAAGCTAATAAAAATGGTGTACTTTACCCCTTACTGAATTGTCACTCTCAAACTGTTGATTAGAAGTCAACTGCTTTGGAAGGTCTGGCAGTCTGAAAAACAAAATTTCATATTTGTCTAAAAGTGAACCATTTCCATAAAGCCCAGCCTCAAGAATGAAAACTACTTTATTAAAGAGAAGTTACCTGATTTTCACTCGGTTTTGTATGCTTACTGTTGATGGAACTTGGGCAATTTGTGGCTTATTAGTCCCTACAGGGTCAATAACCATCTAAAAGACAAAAAAAATTCAAGTGAGGRCAGAAAATGAAATGGATACTTTGATAACATCACTCTGATTTTTCATTAGACTGAGGAAATCTTTCCTTTTAACTAGGAATTAAGGATCAGGCAATGTAAAARCTTTTTGCCTACCTTTGCTTTATCTATATTTTTACAGCATAATACTCAAAACCATTTCTGTAATTTTTTAATAAAGTCCTAGACACGGCACTGATAACTAGATGTGAATAATTAACTTYTCTGCAACACAAATAATGCTGAGTCATTTACAAACTTCATGCAGGCTTGCTACTGCTGCAGCCTGGTTCCTCCTGCTTGTCAATCTAATAAGGGCTGGAGCCAGGCCTGACTGCCCCTGAAGGACAACATCCCCATCAGTCACAGTCGGCACAGGCCTCACGTGTGAATTGAAAAACTGCAGAAAGAATGGAAATACTGCCACCTCACTGATTTTCTAGAGCAGAAGCCAYAACTCTTCTATGCAGCATGTATTTGTGCCTTAAGGGCAGGGTGAGGAATCCATGCCTCAGCATCAGATAACACATTATTTTACAGGGAGTGTCTACTACTTGTTTACTTTTAATTAACAAAATGTATCAAGCTGAATTCTATCAGGGTAGGGGACAAAAGGGCTGGTTCTGCRGAATCTGTCTGGCACTCAACTCCTGTAGTGTACAACACACCTTTTCGGAAGTATAGCAACCTTCTTCCAATCTTTTATTTTTCCTCAGACTCCATCTTCCTTTCCTTGTTGCCATCACCCTTTCTTAAAGTTCTCTTAACCTTGACTTACTGCTTCCCACTATTGTCTAAGTGCAATTCCCCAGATCCCCAGCCTCATCTCTAGATTACCCTGGCAACAGCCCTTCCTCATCATGTCCAACTCCCTCAGCCAGTCACAAATCAGAATTGCTTGAAATTTCTTCTGGTCTTGTTCCACTCAGTCCTGTCATTGCCCTTCATCTTGTCTTACATAACAAAGGTTTTGTCTTCTCACACAGGYTCCACTCTAAGCCATTTATTGATTCATTCACTTCATTCTTCAGTTCCCTTGAAATTCTTAAGAAAACCACAACTAGTTATGTTAACTTTTTTTAACCTGATTTTTGTTATACATTAAGTTTTGGGTTTAAATAGATCCAGTAGGATGTCCCTTAGAAAGAAGTTTAGATGCAGAAAATTGCCCAAGTTCCTGCACAGTAAACACAGTTACAAACTCTTTTATCCCTTATGGCCTCACCTCTTCTGATTTGTYCTTTAATATTTAACAATCTATTGCTCCTACCAATGGTCCTGCACTCTATGAAGCTATTGGTAATTTTCACAACTTTGCAAGTTGCACCTCCAGCTTCCTTCTGGATTAGTTTATTGTATTTGAACAAAAAAATTGTATCTGAATAAAGCTGCAATTCACTCCAGCATTTCAAAAAAGTGTCATAGTAACAATGCTTTTATGGGTGAGAGATAAAAAAATGGAGCTGTGGGCTCCTGCGGTGCACCAAGGACTGTTTTTCATGGTTTTATTCCTTTTAGCCTAGATTTCTGTTTCTGGTAAAACCTCAGAATGGAGCTGTTAACTATAGACTRTCCTGTACACTTAATCCTTTATCAAATCCTTTATTATGGAGTAGATGGCTGATGATTCATCAGTAACAGAAGATTCTGTTCCTCCTTTAGAGTTCCAAATATTTGGTACACACAAAATCTACAGGGGCTATTTTAAAWGCTAAAAACTATTACACAAAATGAGTTGGTAACATGGTCCACCTCAAGTCTGGCGTTAGAATGCAGTTTGTAAGGACATGGATATTTTAAGAATGAAAAGGCACCAAAGAAAGATTTTTGCTTTGCAGAATCAAGTAATTGCAGATAACCATGATTTGCAGTTTACAGTGCTGAAAGGTTTTATGTAAGACATAATAGCATGAGGTATATTTGAATTTCTTTAAATTTAAATGACCACATAAACCAGATTACATAACCTCATGTTTTTATTAGTGGGAGGGCAACACACCTCTGATGAATTTTCTGCAAGGCTGAAGGAACTGCTGGTGGCCACAGGAAGTTCCACGGGTTTCTCTTTTTCTTCTCTCCCTAAATTTACAAATATTGCATAATATTGTCAAYAGGATAAAGTATCCAAAGCATGGCATTGTTAAACTGAACTTGGGAACAAACCTTATAAATTTCCCTTTTAATAGAAAGCAAAAAGAAACTTAACACAAAATATGAAARTATCAAACAAATGGTAGTTGTTTAATATCTACTGTATTAATACAAACAGTCCTAAAGGTATTTTAGATTTGAAATTAAATTATTTTCAGATGTTTCTGACACCATCAGTTGTATCTSTCATGTTGCTTTACTCACTGCACASRTAAAGGAAAAATCAGACACAGAATATTTYTAGAATATAAAGAAAGGTAAGCACCCACATTCCACTGAAAGCCTGGTTTCATTATAAGTAGCTGAGCAGTTCACTAGATTTGCTGTCATCAATTACTCATTTTTTTGCACAAAAATAACACAAAATGCTCACTGGGAAATCATTAAACACAGTATACCTGTTTCTGGTCGTTGCTTTGAGAATCTAAAACTCGGTACAGAGGGGACAAATTTCCGAGGAATGCATGGGACACGTAATGCTTTATACAGCTGATGCTTCTCATTTGGCAAAGATGGACGTTCACGTTCTTCAAACATCCTAACAAATTTAAATTTWAAAAAAAAAGTTAATCATTGCAAAAGAAAAGAAATCACAAATTATAACTGTGTGTTGGTTTTGTTTGGCCCAGTTTTTGGAAGTGGGGGGGCCAAAAAGATGGCGTAAATAAGTGGAATTCAAGTAAGTGGAATTTTCAAGGGCATTGTATATTATCAAGGAGGTTCTACCACTTTCAGTACCACTAGTTGATAAAAATGAAGTTTTCTTCAAATAATATCAGGCAGAGAATATCTCTGAAAAAGAAGCCATAAAGGARAAATAAGCCAATCATAAAAACACTGATGACTTAAATTTTGTCAGTATCAAAGAAAAYCATTAGTTGTTTGGAGTTTTACACTTTGATTAAAGTGCATCATTATTGCAGTTCTGAAATCACATTTTCACATTTAAAAACATTTTTTCTCTCYCTCTCTCTCTGAGATTGTCTGGAATACTCACACTACACATACACAAAAGAGAAAACTGCAGCAAGTGTTTTCACTTGTGGGGTAATTATCTGTGTAGGGTAAATAGCCCTTTACAGTGCAGAAAGACAAAGGTTAGCAGAACAATGAAGAGTAAAGTGGCTATTTGGCACAGGAACATTTACAATTTTTTTAGAATAATGAGTTCTATTTTATTTTCTCTCTGGCATTTCTGCTTAGTGCCTCCGGGCTTCTAGCTATAACATCTGGTTTGTAGCTGACTGAACAATGCTGCTCAGAACAGATGAAGAACTGAGTCTGTCTTTTTGTTCTTGAAATTCTCTAAACAAACATAAGATAAAACRTAGGATACACTTTGTAAGGTAGTGWGGAGTAAAAGTAGCAGCACTAATTAAAATATACCAGCTTGAAGCACTGGTTAAGATACAAGGACCTAACAACATATTAAACTGATATAGATACAAAACTGTGCTCACATTAAACCATGAAAGCACCTCAGCCAAGTGTATCTGATGACAAGGACTATTTTCACTTGTAGTTACATTTATACCTGGTGCTTTGCTGGACTGAGACTAAACAAACTGTACAGAACATATACAACCTAAGAAATTAAAAGCCAAAGGAAATCTTTAAGTTATGTTAATTATAGATCAACCTGTGCTGAGGATAAATACTACAGAAAAAAAGATGTGTGTGGTGTATCTTTAAATTCAGGTGCAGAAAGTGCAAAAGCAAGGGGAAATCAAAACAGAGCCTAGCAGACAACTCTGTATTTCTAAAGATTTACTCTCCATTAAATAAAAAAATCCTCTTATAATGCATATCTATATAGAAGAATTCCTCAAAGGCAGAGTTACAAACCAAACTCAGAAATTTGTAAGATATGCTTGCTTTAAGTAGCAAAACCTTCCAAAAGAGCCTGCAGTTAAACTCTATGCATATGCAATACACCATTTCTTCACAAAAACACTATTGAAATATAAACCATGCACATCTTCTCTGGCATAATTAATAACCACTGGAAGAAAAATAAAACTGCATCCTATAGCTCAAAGCAATCCAAATTGCAGCAGCAAGAATAATCACTTTCTCTACTTCATTGATAGTAGACATCTGAGTAGATAAAAAAATCTTTATCTTGATCCATACTGCAGGGGTATTTGAAAGTGTAAAGTATAAAAGGGAGATTAAGCCAAGATAAAGTGCCATTTCCTTGGCAGTATTTTCTTTTTTGTAGCATAAAGAAACCCAAGGATTAATGYTAATTTTCACTGGAGGAATCAAGTRCATCTGATTACACACATGAAGAATCACACCTGCTTTGTGGCATTTACAGCTACAAAACCATGCTCAGTATTCTCATCAGGAGCATTCTTTTGGGAAGCTGGACTTGTAATAACTACTATTAACTGTCTATGAGCTTTGGTGAGCAGGGTTGGCTCTCCATACGTGTTTACATTAGAAGTCTGAAAACAGCTTTAGAAGGACTTTTCTAAATTATATTAGAATTATATTATCCAGTTTTTTCTTTGACCAATAAAAGTTAATCAYTTCTGAGGCAAAGATGTTGAAAGAACTGCAACAATCCACCATGGAATCTACTTAATGTGAAGTTTTAGCAAAAATCTTTCACTTGAAATGTAAGAGATGGAATTAATNATTACAGATTCACGGACTTAAAGCTCTCCCAACCATTTTACAAAGGCAGAGAGGATGAACATGATGTATGCCATAGCACAGTTCAAGAGATCAGCCTCTCCATATAATAAATTGAATGTCTAATTGAGAAATCAAGTAGGCTTCAAAAGAGTTGAGTCCTGTTTGGTGATTGATGACAACTCTTGCTGTGGAAATGAAACTATGATACTTGTCTGTGTAACTGGTGAGATATGAATCAGAGAGAAGAGCTGGTATTGAGCAGAGGAATCTGTGGTTTGCACTCCTAACCAATAACTRGCCAGCACCAAGAGATTCAAACAACAGTGTTCCAGGCTTTTTAAAAGAACAATTCCCATTGCMATCCTGCTGCCCAGAGCAGAACATATATATCAGCACCTATTAATTGACTTGCAAGCTGGTTTCTKGTCTTGTAGCCCTCTAAAGCTTTTCATGGGTATTAATTTGTACATTGTTCTGCCCAGTGCTTTCATTGCTCTCTTCAGTTCTTTCCCTTGATGCTGCTGATTCCATGCTGGTTTGGATCAGTTCATGAGGATTCACAGTACAATTCCTTTTTGTTCCTTCTTCTTTGTAGCAGAAGATGAAGATATCTCCTCTTTCTGCACAAAGATCTCTTTGCTCAGTAGATGGCAGGTCTGGCAGTGCACCCAATGGATTCCTCTCCTCGAGGAACTTCAGAGGAATTCTTACACCTCTATATCCAGAGCATAGATCTCTGACTCTTATAGAAAGTCTTCAGTTGGTATTTTGTGTTCTGCAGACTGAACACATATGGGTTTCTTTGAAAATTCAATGAGAGTGTGTTTCCCATATTTTCTTTTTTTACCTTCTCAAAACTGAGGTGATTTCTTGCTTCCCCATGTTTCTGTTCTTGCCAATTACAAAAAACTTACATGAAAAGGTAAAATTGGTGCAAAGGCTACACCACAAAGAAATGTGAAGGATTCATAGACTGTAAGAAGATATTAAACACCTAAAATGTTCCGTGAAAAGGATCTTAGGAATTACTAAAATGACACTTTTTTTTATAGATATATTCCACTAAATGCCTATTTAAAGCCCTAAAAATATTCTTTTTCAAGCACACCATAATATGAAATCACTTAGACAAAGTCTTTTGGATATATTTTTGCTTTAAAATGGCTTTTGGTCTAAAAGTGTCAGCTCGACAGGAGATGTTTCAACATTCACAAGGACTCCAGATAAGTGCAAGATAGTCCTCRTGGTGATTTTCAGTCATTGTAATTGAGCTCAAATTAAAGTGAGTCTCAGCTGTAAATGATCGCTGACTAATTTACTAAGCCATTAATCCTGTCTATGAAACTTTCACTCATGCTTGTTTTTAAGAACTAAATTAAGAGTTAAATTTCTTAAGTAGTTCAGAGGTGAAGACAACTGACATACAGAACCCTGACTCCTTTTCCAAATATACATATAGTAGATTTAATGTTATTTTATCTGACTGCACAGTCACTGTAGTTGCATTCAAAATTACTTACACAAATCTGTCCGTGGTAGCTGAGAAGCAAATGCTTTGACAAAATATTTTTATAGTATGTTTCCAGACACACTGAGCTTCAAGAATCAAAATTAGTCCTTCTTAAACCCCCAGAAAATAAAGGTTTTAAAATTACATAATTAATTCACATGACCAGGATGAGAGAAGCTTGCCAGTCCTTATGTARCAACAATTTGTGTTTTGTAGCAGTCTTTGTGTAAATTCTGAGATAGTATTCTGGATGAAAGGATGGGGAAAATAATTTTGGGATCTACCTTTCTTTAAACTCTTCTGGCTGCTCAAGAATTTTCTGTTTTTTTCCTTCAATCTTCTCAGAATTATTTTGATCTTCYTTAGTCTCTTCAAATGTCTTAAAAGGTAAAGAACAAATGGCATAAAAATTAAAAAAACTTGAAACATTTTAGCTATGTGCTRCAAAAGTTTTCTGAACCTGGTGAACCGGTCCTCTGTAGTAGTTTTTGTAGCCAAGAGGTTCTGAAGAAATAAGAAGAACAAGGTTAAAAAGAGGCAATTTTTTTTTTTCTTGGATCAACTGTAACAACTGGAATAAACACAGAGGTTTTGGAGAATGGGCTCTAAACGTCTACTGAGATCCTGGAGCTCCTTACATGGTCTCCTTCATAGCTATAAACAAATTCAGCACATCCCTTTTTCCTGTATGTTTACACAGCACATCTCACATTAGGAACTTCAGGCTGTGAGTGTCAAACAGGATCACAGAATATAAACAGAAAAAACCACCTGTGCAAAGCATGCTGATATCAGCACAAGACAGCAAATGGAGCCCTTGATCGTCTGGTCTAGACAGGTAAAAGCACCCAGATGCAATGCTATAAAAAGTTACTAAACCTTTACAAGACTGGACTGCTCAGGCTTAGAAGAGACTTTTTACAGAGGAGTGGGTCCAATTTCTGTACTGATAAAATCCCTTCCATTTTTTGAAGATTTTTTTGAATCAGTACTTCTCCCAGTCCATGGAACTGTATTGATCTCCTGTCTAAAATCAGACAGTTTTACTGCTGAGTATTTCATACCACCACACACGCATTTTGGGGAAAAGAAAAAAAAAAGAAGGAAAGAAGGAAAATTCTTTATTCTCGTTGTAAAGCATATTTAGTTAAACACAAACCCTTAAAACCCAGTAGGACCTGTGAAAGCCACACACTCAAGCCCTGGGGCTCACTGAGGAGTGGCCCTGATTTATTTTTAAGTGTATACTCCCGAGCTGCCACCAAAGTCATCGTGACACAGTGGCTTAACAGAGACTGCAGCACAAACTGAGGTCAACAGAAAGCAAACTTTAAGAACATTTRCATTCATAGACCCCTCTTCTGTAAGAAAAAAAATGTCTAATACTAGAGAAATGTAATTATAAGGCCRGAATCATGCTGTTGCTTTATGTCCTTGAAAGTGTACTATTTTTTGATGTTTCAGAAAATGCAATGGTGTGTATAAGATGTTTATATAAAATAAGATTCAGATACAGTTACCTTTTTTAAGTAGTCAATTTTCATTTCCAATTCTTCTGCTTCTTTTTGCAGTTTGATGGATTCCTGGGTAGCAGCTTCAACAAGTTTTAATGTTTCCTGTGTTTTTTGCTTCATAGAGGCACTTTGATATCATGGAATATATTTTACAACAAGTTTTTTTTCAAACAAGGAATACCATCAGATCCCTTCTTACCCCTCTATCCCATAATACAAATGCTAGAGGTGCAGGAAGTTCTGACAAATCTACATTTCTCTGACAAATCTTCAACTCTAACTTCAAATAACCTTCTCCTAAATGAAGTGTTTTGATGGGTGTGTTATTCAATGAAATTTTATTTTCTTTCCTCGAAATGCTCCCATAAATTTAAACTGAATTCGACCTCACAGAGAAATGCTAATGCTGCCACTCTAAACATAAATATATAAATGACAAATATACAAATATATGAATATATAAGTATATAAATATTTAAATACATATAAATATATAAGTATATAAATATATAAATATATAAATATATAAATATATAAATATATAATTACTTTATTTTCTAATAGAAAATTGTGAAAGGTAAATATAAAATATCTTTCCTGCCAAATTAATACATTCTAGAAGTCAAGGATACACTTGTACAGCCCAGTCATTTACGGATTTAAAAGGAATGGCCTCTGCAAATAAAAAATCRAATTTCAGCTCATTAATTAAGAAATTAATTTTCTTAACAAATACAAGATAAATTAATAGATCAACAGCATTTATCTTTGCTTGGAATAGATAATAAAAATCATATTATAACAGTAAGGTTATTAAAAACAAAACTAAAAAGATATTCAAATTAAATTTAAAATTTTGAGAGGCTCAGTCTAAAGGAATCTTAGAACTTTTTTACCCAAGAAGTTCAGTGACAAACCTCACCCCATTACATTTATGGGTTGGAGAAAGGAATATTAGTATGTACAATCTAAATTCTTACTTGCTACAGATTTTTTTTCTTAAAATGGTGTAACAAAGAGAATATATTTTATTAGCTCAAAGGAAACAGTGGAAAATCAGAGATTTTCTGTATGGCACCTTAATGTGCAGTGCATTGCCAAAAGGCTTTATTATAAAAGCATTGATAATAGCAGTACCCAGAATATCCAAGCATGCATCTTCTTTCCATTTGTATTTTTCACAGCGTTTCAAAAGTCTGTTTTGGATTTCTTCAACTTCCTCCTTTTTCTTGTAATACTCCTGGGCAAGAGCAGTTTCTGTATATTTTTTGCGGTGCTCCTGCAAAATCTCTGTATACTGGATTATGGATTCCTGATACATTTTCCTATAAAAATAAATGTAATTTAATTTTTTTTCACATGAAGCCATTGCTTTTAAGTAAAAAAATATAAATTTATGACATGAGCTCAGTTAATTTGCTGTCATCATAGGAAAAAAGGTTGGATTGTATTTAATATGGCAATATTTGGCTTTATTTTTTTATTTTCCAGCTATATTCAAGGAAGGCCATGATGTACGTAACAAAGAATAGTCATGAGGTAAAAACCAGCCAAACCTCCCTGTTCTGCAAGGAATGTAGATCATACCATATTAAAATACAGTCTGGCAGATGACAAATGTGTTTTTCCCTGTGTAATTATGATGAAACTCACCGCAGGCCAAAGCCTCTGCTGGTGCATGTTGGCACAATTCCATCAGCTTCAGTGGAGCTGTATCAAAATTACAGTAAAAGAGAATTTGGCCAAACATCCCATATTTAGAGCAGCCTGGTGCACCACTGGACTAAGAGCTGCCTCCAAGGAGATGCTGAGTAATCTCTGTCTGACTCAGGGAAGCCTTAGAAACACACATCAGTCACATTGAAACAACAGGACTATTCATAGTTAASGTTAAGCAAACACTTCAATGTTCAAATGGCAAAGAGCCAGAATGTTCAGCTTCTTGTGGGACTGCCCTGTAAATTAATGTTRCACTAAATGTAATTTCACTGACATCATGAGAGCACATGGCTATGAATTACTACAGTAGGTAGTTTAAAGTTTCCTACATCAATTAATGTAGGAAAAGTTTGTGAAGAATGGAGAGGCAAATTTAAAAACCTTAAGTTATTAGTACACCCACAAATTAGCAAGAAATTCCTTTACAGGAAAAACTATGGTGCATAAGAGAAACTCAAGCAGAGACCCACGTCTTAACCTGCCCCTGTATTAAGGAACAACTCTCACTGCTTGCAAAGCACATAGGATTCCTCCTTAAGAACACATTWTATCCCAAACTGCTATTAATCATTTAATTGCAGCAGGACTGAAACACTGCATTTGACTGTCCTGGCTGCCCTGGATATCCCAGGCAATGGGAGAGAGAAAATTTATGTCCAAATTCAATATGAGAAGCTTCTACTCTTACARAAGGAAAACAAATTCACAGTGCAAAATGCAGTAAGGTTCTAATTTTTAAATAAAACTACACTCCAGACACAAGTTAAACTGACTGACATTCAACCCACTTTAGGGGAAAGAAGTTGTAAGTCAACACTGTGAATCAARCATAGGAACTATTATTTCCCAAACTTCATATAGAAAATCACACYAATCTATTTATTTTTCTACACAGATGGTCTAGTTTTTGATTTACTTAGAATTTCTGTATACTGTACAAAATTTCCAGGTATGAAAGATTAAAAGTAGTCAGKACTATTTAATTAAATAGATGTCACAACATCAACTGAGACAAAAAATAAATTTGCTAATATATAACTTAKAATGCATTACAAATAAATKTAAACAATATAAATAGGTAAAMTTATTTGGTTTAACAGRTACATTTCAAGTTTTTGAACATGAYTGTAAAACTTCRTATTCTTTTCCCAAAATCTATTTTCCATAGATAATACTTACAGCCATATATAGTACTTTAAAAATTGTCTCTATTTTAAATATTTTCCCCAAGTAACTTACAYCCTCCATTTCATGCATACAACACAGACTATTTAGAATTCAGCACTGTTCACATTAATTAGAAAAGTTTTAATCTAATTACAACAGGAAAACGGCAACATTCACAAACCTCCTGAACATTATGTGGATAGCAATTTATTACTTTTTCCTTCTTCATATCACTTATTTTCAAGATTAACTTCCAGTTCATAGAAGCATTCTTATATGTTCTTGAAATCAATAACAACGAAAAAATGCAGAACATTTTATAAACCTCCWTTATAAGTGCCTAATTAAACAGGAACTGATCTGCTCATCTTTTAAAAACATCTTTCCATCTAAAGAAGCATGTCCTCAGTGTCCCCAAATGCYAGGCTAAAACAAATATTCAGCTCATAAAGTTCTAAAGTTACTTATTTTTCTTCTTAATTTAAATATTTAGAATTTGCTGAATGCACATTTTGCTGRCTTGAACATATCATCAAATGCTTCAGTGCAGAGGGACTACATTTGAGGCACAGTTTTGAAAAATAAATGAATTAAATTTATTTTATGATTTGTAGTCATGATGTCTTATAATTAAGCTCAGGAAAACAGATCAAACACTTTCATGTTGGAATTGAAACTAGTTATCTAAAGAAGCAATTTAAAAGTAATGCTTCTTTGGCTTGTCAGCTCAAATTAGTGAAAGCCAAAATGGCTTAATCATATACTCATAGAAAGCCAATTTAGCCTTATTTTTCACCAAATTTAGAGCTCTGAACAGGAAGAAAAAAGATAAGCTACTAACTGAGTTAATTAAAGGCTCTCAGGGTTTTTGCTGTCTTGGACAACTGGCAAAAAGAATGATTACAAAAGACTCAGAGCCAATGTTTTAAATTACCTGAATATACGACTCTAAACTGGTATTAGGTATTTGGAGGGGTCTGCCAGGACCTTTGCATCACAGGGCYGAGCAGCCTCCACCCCCTCACAAGCAGAGCAGTGCAGGTGAGCYGCCTTTCTAAAATGGAGATCAGTTTTACTTTGTTAAATAAAACTTTGGTGGGTTGCCTTAGTACAGCACATTTGGAACATTTCAGTGAAAATCTTCAGGGTCTGTTCTTTATTTCATTGACTGCAGGTAGCTGCACTGCACAATTAATAATTTATTTTAAAGGCTGAGTCTAATTAATGAAGCTGGAACCCCTGAGATGCCACTTTTGAATATAGAGTTTGCAATTAATGCTGACAAGAAGCTTGCCCACAACTAGTCTTAAAATTATTTTAGACCAGGCTTTTCTGAGCCATTACTCATTTTTTAGGATCTAAGACTGAATTTGTGTGCTTTGTGATTATTTTGAAGAATATACAACAGTATTCAAAAACTTGATTTGTATATTCTGATAGTTCTATGCAATTCATATTCAAAAACAAGGAGAGGTATAAAATTATCTGAATGTTCCTAATTGCTAATGAAAACATTAATTGYTTTTATTTATTGGGCTTTTCTTGAAACAGTAGGCAATTGAGCAGTGTTCTCAAAAATTGTAGTAGGCATTTGGGRAGCAATTGAATTTCAAGAATCCATGTTTTATTGTATTTCATTGGCAACTACAAAACAACAAAAGATCTCATGGTAAAGTAAACAAAAATTGCTTTAAATTATTCAGTGACTTATRTTATCCTGAAAAGTTTGCAACAATTTCTTGATGCAGACAGCACTATTTTTACTGATCACTTTAGTTAGTTTAGTCAGCAGTACATGTGGAAATCTCATCTCACATGATCATAGATACCTCTCATTGTCTGTAGCTTCCTCTAAAGCTTCAATTTCATTTTTCAAATATTCTTCATGCTTTTTAAGAATTGCATAGGTGGGCTTCAAGCTGTGGACAAAGTAAACAAAATAAAAACACATATTAGTGGTCTTTCTTAGTAAAAACACATTCAGAAAAGAAGACACCGAATACTTTAGCCAGCTTACTAGAACAATTTTTTTGAAAGTTAAACATAAATGGGTTTAGTACATAAATCCTTTGCAGATATACATTTATTTTGTTAATATTTTAAATCAGCAGATTCAAGAATATATATTTAGAGTTAAGAAAGATTACAAAGCACTTTTTAAGGAATTCATTGAATGAACTGCACAAATTTTTGGAGCTAACACTGAGTAATGAGACATCTAAATCTACACATTAGGTCCTCAACCATCACCATCAGTAAATCCTTCAGATATGTTGAATATTCTTGTTGGAGACACTCACAACTTTATTCTCACCTGTATCACCAGCACTCATCTCATACCTAAATGCAAGCAGCAGTCACAAACTCAGAATTTCCTCCATTTGCTAAGCAAGTCATGCTCAGAAAGCATCAAAGTGATTTTCCTACAGCAGGATGCTGTAGATGGTACTGAGAGCACAGCAACTTCGCAAAATTCTCATGACTGTTGGAATAGCAGGACTTTCTCAACATCCAGGCATTAGAAACACCTCTCCCTTAGATATGGRAATACCAGTAAAACAGGCAGAAAGGCTTTGTGATTCAAGTGAAATTCAAATGTGATCTTTAGCATAGGCATATAAAAAAGTTTTTGAAAAGAAAGCACCCTGTCTGGAAAAAGCAGATGTAAGAAGCTGGTACGAAGTGTTTGACACTCCTGGTGATTCAAAGTGGAATACAAAATGGTACTTCGCTATATCTACTGCAAATTCAGTAGAAAGCTGAATTTCAAAAGGGTCAGATTCTTTAAAAAGAAGAAACCAACATATTTGCGTAAAAAATGTGCTTGCACATCAGACACTGTGATGTTCTTTTACTGAGAATACTCCATGCTTTTCTTTGGAGAAAAAAACCCCAAAACCCTGATACGTAAAATTCATAGAGATTTTATTAATTAGAATATAAGCCATGTTGTGAGTTACATTTTTTGTTCACATCTATTCTGTGGACATGGAAAAAAAATGTAGTACAAGAACACTGGTTTGTGAACACAAGCAGGTATGCAGAWTTCAAGTAGCTCCTTTACTATTTGTTCATGCATTACTATTTTTCATGGATGTCCTTGGTAGCCATCGCATTTTTATTTGTCCTTCCTTTCATCAACCAGGATATAAAAAGGATCTTTATCCACACTAATCTGAAAGCTATAAAATTCTCATTTTGGCTAGTGGAACAAGACAACAATTTCTTTTCCTAACTAACAACATTCTGAGTTCATGTGGCTTTTTWAAAAATTATCTTATTTCTATTTCCATGAAATCCCACCATCCTTGCMTCCAAATTTAAAAATTGTAAGAGAAACAATAACATTGGAATAGGTTCCATCAGCAGTGTTTCACTACTTCTTACTGCTCTGGGATCAACATTTCTAGTTTGAATTCTTCAATATTCAAAATTAATATTAGCAARTAAAAATAAATATCAGCAAAATGTCATCACTTGTCTAAAAAYAAATGTTTCATTTGGGTCATTTTCTGTCTTCAGTGCTGTTTTACATAGATAAATATGAATTTCTTTAGAAAACAGAGTATTATCTCAATACATCTCCATACATCATATTTTCTCTAGACTTGTTGAATATGAGAAACTTATATTTTGTTCAAAGTCTTCAAATCTGCWTCAATATACTCTTGATGTCTTGTAACCCAGACAAAATGTTGTTTTTGTGAGAGCTCTATTGAGCTCTATCACTGGCAATTAGTTAGCTGTGAGGGTGATTGTGACTCCAAAACAATATTTGAATTTACAAAACCAACATTAGAATCATGTCCAGTATAGATGGAGTGTCAACTAGAATAAATTTTAGAAGTTTGGGGTGATTCTACTGTGTAAGTGCTCTAATTGTCTGATCTTATAGCCAGGGCTTGTTTATTGCAGTTTTCAGTCTGTCGTTAAATGACATTTCCAATAATTTAAGACACAAAGTCTCTACTCTTCTGCAAGCATTGTCCTTCTATGAATACATGTATTCATTAATGAGTCACTTCTCATTTTCAGTCTCTTTACACTAATGCCATTAATTATTCTTTGTAGGACTTGAGCCAAAACCCATTGAATTCAATGATTAAAATTTAGATCAGATCCTTAGTTCTACCCTTAATTTTTTACTTCTTCATTTGCATCACTYAAYAGTTTGTCATTTGCAAACAGATTTKCAGCTTCAAAAATATATCAAAGGAAGCWGTGTGGGTAGCTTTAAAAACTTGTAAAAGTGTTCATTCTATACTACATTGGARGCAAGATTTTAATGTAATGGAAAAATAGAATTTTTTTACTAAGGTCAGATCTTTTCCTTACTCTTTTTATGGTATACACAAATCAGTATTGAATGGCAWTTCATTCAAATAAGCCAGCCACTACAGCCACTTTATTCACTAATGATTCCATTCTTTTTTGTTTTCTTTCTGAGAGTTCAAAATAAACCTAGAAAGGACATTGATGCCATCTTTACTGTCCTCTTTATTCTTAGAAAGTACCACACTGTCCATTCACATTCTAAAAAAAAAGTTTTATTGAAGTACTCACTTTTAGATATAGAATTGCAAGAAAACAAAACAGAATTTGCCAACAAATCATCACTWCAGCTGCTGAGGAAACTAGTCAGACTGTGGAGAAATAAACACTGTGATGGATTTTATCACCTGGGASAAACTCTCTGTATTGTCAAACATAGATTTGTGTTTTTTAGCTACCCTTGCAAACACCTGAGGTTTTAATTTTTTAAAATCACATGTTAGGAAGAAAAACTCCTTGTAGCCAAATTGTCTCTTGAAAAGCATCTAATTACTAAGATTCAAAAGTGACCAGCATTTAAAACTTCAACTAATTATCTGATACAAACATTTGTGTAAGGAAAACGGTGAATGGCGGCCCATTGCRTTCATCAAAAAACTGTGCCCAGAAGACAAATTTTGCAGTCTGGAGTAAAACTGATACCAGAATCTGCCAGCAGAAGCACACACATATGTATATGTAGAGGCAGTTATAGCATATTTTCTGTGAGAATATGTATAGAACAAAAAGTAACATGAAATATGTTGTAAACRAAGAATACAAAGATGTTCAATTTCAGGAAGGCCTTTCTTTTAACAGTATTCTCAATATTGGTCAAATTTGACAAAACTCAGATATATCCACGTGTAGGAAAATTGTGCTTCTGTTATCTTACTACATGAATACTTCAGCACGTTGCAAAGATTGTACCCATGAACTGCTGAAAACTGGGGATTCTAATAAAAAACCCACCCAAAATTAAATGTAGTGTGCTTTTCTATAAATTGCTTCCTCAGGGGATGTGCAATACTGTAATTTTTATACCTAAATATTTGCAGTTTAAAAAAAAAAAAACAGGAGAATACTGAAGTTTTCTTTAATATCAGTGCTGTCAGAACATACCCACACATATTTTTCCCTTAGTTTCTCATTGACTTCCTTAATGCCAGCCACAACTCAGAGTTCAGGCTGTTTTATACTTACGCATTACAGTTCTTCTTGCTGCTTTCATTCTGCTTTTGCAAATCAGCAATTGCCTCTTTGCTGTTATTTATATTTTCYTCCAGCCTAGCAATGTGATTCTTTTTTTCTGAAATTTTTGCAGTGTACCCTGAAATTGAAAAAATAAATTAAAAAGTATATCCATGCATTTTCAAGAAATTCATGAAGTAAAAAGTCTACATTCCAAATGATTAGAAATTCCTTCCAAAAATCTCCATCTTCATAATGCCAGGTGAGTGGACAACCTGCAATTAAGCAAAGTAACAACAAAGTGARTCAAAACATAGGGATTTTCAGCTGTGTGATATCTTAATTATCATCTAATATTATGAGATTGACATTATTTGTGCTGTTTCTGAATCTTAGACTGTACAGAACTGAAGTAACTATTAGTGGTATTCCCCAATTTAGTTTTCCCACTGAAATACTCCCAACCATGCACACTCACTTTCCAGCTGGAACCAAGACACCCTTTCAAACATTTGTATTCTTTTCCAGAAACTCCAAATGTTTTGAATGGGAAAGCTGACTACAATAAAGGAAAAAYAAAAACATCACTAAATGCATATAAGGCATGAGTGGAAAACAGAAGGAGAGAAATTAAAATGAAAAGGAATTTTACTCAAGGTGGAAATGCGWAATGTATGATAAATTAATATAGGACACAGTTTAATTCATTAAAAATGCATTATAATGACAAATTCTCAAGGAATGATATTTGTGGAGATTCTTAAGGCAAACTCTGAATTCTGCCTTTTCTGACAGCAGACAGATGATAACATTTTCTGAATGTATGGTAAGAGGAGAATCCATGCTGTTGAACCAGTGTTCCCTTCACRAGGAAAAGCTGGGAGASCTATCATGCATGCTCAGCTTGCAAYGCAATAAGCACAACYTGGTGCACTTTTTTCCCCTCTGCATTTTAAATTTCTTTTTTAATGCAAGATTTCAGATTTAYCAGTGCTAAATCATCCCATGCTGTCACTGCTGTCCTGAAGAACTAAATGCCAGAGTAGGTGGCCCTATATAGAGGTCAATTATGTCCTGCCCTTCTTATCTACTCAACTGGGAAGAGCATCTTAATTATGCACGGTGGATCTTGAGTTGTTGGAATTACTGCTCTGRAACTTCAGGTCATCCTGAAGTTTGGCTCTGGCTTTGCACTTCTTATTATGTATTAATTTACAACAGCATCTGCATTTACACCAGAAAATAAACCACTTCTCACAGAGAAATGTCAGTCACTGAAAAGCAAAAGATTCTAAATGRAATTTAATATCTTGGTTTATCCTGATTTTTCCTCGGGTTATCTTCAGCACCTTAAGACTTTCAATATGGAAAGTTAGTAACTTGCTTTTATTTAGCACAAAGCTAAATATTGGATAACTGACATAGGCTTCCTTTCTGTAAACAGGTGAATGTGGCAGAATCCTGTAGATRTTTTTTTGAGATTTACTTAGGTATAACATAATACTACTAAAAAAAATATGCACCTAATGTCTCATTTGGTATTTTTTACAGATCAAAACTTCTGTGAGCTGTTCAAGACACCCTTAGCTTTCACAAGATCCATCTCACCCAATTTTACATTGCAGGCACCTGCTTCAGAGCAAGACACCCATGGCTGCAGATACACCCAGCAGACATTTTTAAAGTTTAGTGTATCTAATCTACTTTAAACTGTTTCTTCAGGATAAGATAAATCACACCCTAAAAGTGCCTATTTCCCTCCACTGGTAATAAAGGGACTGTAGCCAAATAGCCTGATGAATCTCACACCAAAATCCAAGGCTGAATGCTACAGCTGTTCATCTGCCAAGTAATACACAGAGACAAAATTACATCAGTGTTACTATTTTTTTTTACTAAGTTTTTGAAAGACTTAACCCAAACTGCTAGAAGTCTGAGTGTTGGCTGTATGTTTACACATTTTCAGGTGTCTCTGAACTGAATACAAAAGCAGCTMTGACATGTTACTATACAGCCTCTGGATTTTTCCCTAAGAGCATGCTCATTTACCCTAAGCCTGAATAAATGCTWAGAAAAGCCTCATCTCTAAGGTTCAATTACGTGACTGAAGAGTTAAACCAGAATTTTAGGTATGCCAGATTTAGTGTTACAGATGTTTTCATATTTAAGATACTTCAATTTAATAGTGATAATCTTCTTAATGAACAAGTACTTTCTTCACATATAAGTGAAGATTATTAGAAATGTTATAATCAAAAAGAAAACCAATTAGACAAGAATTTTCCTTTTTTTTTTTTTCCTGGAGGTTATGTGTTTCAATATCTACCTATGAAGTACCAGTGGTGCACAGATGTCCTCAGATTTTCTGGAGAATAGTTTCTCTACCACAATCATTCTCATGAGTGATTCTGCATAGTATCATGGTTAAAAAAATGAGTCCAGACATAAGTCCATAATATTGTGTTGTCTGAAAATCCTGGGAGGGAGCAAATTTGATGCAGAGCAAGACTTTCTCTTTGGGTTTACTGTTTTGAATTTTGAATAAAGTAACCAGCTGCTTGATTGCAAAAAAAGAAGAACCAGGCTTGAGTGTGTAGTAGCAACTGAGAGAACTTTCATTATTTTAAGAAAGCAGAAAGAGAGAAGAAGCAGTGAGGCAAAGGTCCAAATCTGGAAAGAACAAAAAACATGAAGAAAGAAAGGGAGGCAAGTGGCAGATGCATTGAGCAAGCACAGCTGAATCAAAGGGCTGCCAGTGACTGAGGAGCTGCAGAGTCAGAGCAGGAAATGGCGCAGCATGAAACTGGCTGTCCATGAGGCAGATGAACAGCCTCAGCTAAAAGTCTCGAGCAAAAGCAAAGTCTGCTGGGGAGAATGAGCAAGTATTGATGGCTAAAGATGAGGCAGGGTGAGAGCAGGACACGGGACAGCTTCCATTGTTTATCCTGCTTCCGCCCCCGAGATGCAGAACATGTCCCAGGACTAATGAAACAAAATCAGTGTTCAGCATCCAGTAAAAAGATAATTTATCACTACTCACAATTTATCTGATGATTCACATGTTCCTTAGCATAGCGAGTTTTTTCTACCTGGAAAGCTGAAGAAGAAAATTAACCCTTTGTTATATACAAATGTATGAGTGGAGCTGTGAAACAAACATGCAGTGCAGCATTAATTGCACAAACTCTGATTAACAATTATTATTATAAAATATCCAAATAGCAGTTTTACTGTTAAATAGCTGTTAGTACCCCTCTCCACAACCTCACAGCTAACAAACCATTATGCAGGCAAAGATCGAAACCTTAGTATTATACTTTTATTTGAAGTTAACATAACTGTTTAAAGCAGAAAATACCACTGTGTGCAATGCATAAGTAATTGTAAATAAAAAAAAAGTATGATATAATGACCTACCAAGCTTGACCAGAGTTTTTTCCAAGTCGATAAAAATCTTGTCACTCATTGTTTAAACTACAAAAGAAAAGTGCAATTCGAGGATTTACACAGTCAAAAGCTTTGTTGATACAATAAACGACCCAAAATTGCAAGACAATACCACACATTTTAACATAAAAGGAAGAAAAGTAGTTCTAACTGCATTTGAATTACAATTTAAACCACTTAAGTGGAACCAAATTTTCTCGCTAATGGTGGTAAGGGACCTGTAAGAGTCTAAAACACAGTTAGTAAAAAAGGTTTATCATTTAGGTAAAGCGTTGCTCCTGGAACAATTGTGTTTGAGAGGCTTAATGCTCTTAGAAAGAATGAAGAATGTAAGGAGAGATGCTCGCGTACAAAACGTGTAGCCTGTACTCCAGCTGGTTACTAAGCCTATGGACTGCAGTGCTGGTGATGGAAAAATCTTTCTAAGCATCCTGCATGCTCCTCCCGTAGAACGGCCAAGTCCATTCAAATCAAACGGGTATAAATGCTAAGTGTGATTACAGACAGAATTCTCCCACAACGGAAAACAGATTGCTACAAATCCTTCCTTCTATTTGTATCTGCCAGGTGCAGAAATTCATTTTTGGGTTTTTAAATGGACGGGGGACGATGTAGTTCTCTAGAAAGGATGCAAACACCGTTCATGAGAGAGCTCTGGACACAGTTCGTTGGCTCAGGTGCATTAACAGCGAGCGAAGTTGTCTGGACTTTAACTGTCCCACAGTGGCTTCCCCATCACACTACGATAAGCAAAGCCACGACAAATTGGTGATGAGGATGAGATCCTAATCCAGGATAAAGTGGAATAGAAAACAACTGCAGAATATAACTAAAGTGGCATTAAGGCTACATCCTGCAGCACGGGGGCTGTGGGAGCAGGAGGCGGCGAAGGCAGCATTTAAAACGCTGGGTGTTGGACAGAAATGAATTTGTCTAATAGTTAAGGGAGGATCAGAACACCTAATCCAAGTGACTGGATTAGCACAGGCTGTGATATAAAAACTCGGAGAAAGAGATAATAGTCTTACCAAATGTATTTAAAAGATTGAAATCCTGCTTCCTAGTGCCTGGAAACACTTAAAATAGCAAATAAAAAATCTTYTGAAAATGCTAAAAGWACMCCTAAGAAATACTACTTCAAGACAYAGGTCAAKRCAGAATATTTTTGCTTTCACACCATGTAAAAGAAAATCTAAAGTAATTCCTTTAGATTAAAAAAATTAGTTTGGCGCATGTATTAAAAATCTGTTCTCTAGGAACAGTTAAACAGTGTTTGTTAGCTGGTTTTCTGAAACTTCCCATAAAAACTTCCAGATATTGGGGCAAAGAAATTTTATTCATTGGTTTATAAACTGCAACACAAAATTTATCATTAGAGCACACTGTATAGCTGTATATTATTAAGATAAGAGACAATTATATTATCGCATCCAAATACAATTGATTTTAGTTTTGAATTTTTTTGTAGAAGAGTAGTAGAGAGTATTCAAGCTTTTTAAGAGAGAACTAAAGTGTTTAATTTTTTGGTGTAATTTTACAATACGATTCATGAGAAGGGTAAAGTAGCAGAAAATAGTGAAAGCATGCATATTTAAAATACGTGTTATTTTGATATTGTTAAAAATGAAGTAGGATAACTGCAAATGACAAATGTTATTCCGTGCGGGGAACTGAGAGGATACAAGTGTCACCGTATCTTCTAGATAGAAAATTCTAGTAGAAAAGGCTGAGAGATTCAACTGCACTGGTAACATTTACAGTGTTTGCAGATTAAAAAAACAAACTTTGGACAACTGATGTCTTCCRGGATATGACTGTAGCAAAGACTGATTCTTGCACAAGTGGCAGGCAGAAAAGTAGCGTCAAACCATTAGCCAACTCAGGATGACAAATTCGGAGGAAATTCTCACATGTGGCTGATATTTTTGTCAGAGATAAATAGGCGACACACGGGACTGGGTAAAACAACTTCAAAGTGCATCTATTCTTTCCAGTGAGGCTATTCAGAATAATGCGAGGAGAAAAGTATCATTATGCATCCTGCATTTTTGCACGGCATTAATGTAATTATATAGAATTCAATTATGGCTACTAAGTTTCACATATTAGAAGACTATATTGAGTGCAGAAACCACAACCAAACTGCCTGATGTGGTCYCAAGCCATTATACCAGTAATATTAATAATGCCACTTCTCAGTAATCCATCTGGCAATAGACAGGTTCTTCATTAAAAGGTGAAAAATACCTATAACCTGTGAGGTAAATATTTTCCTTAAAATCCAAATCTCAATTCTACCAATTATAAGCTGTGAAACACTTTTAATTCCAGTTGTCAGTATATGAGTAATTTTCATTTTATCGAGGCTCTTCTGAGAGGAAACCGATCCTTCTCTCATGCTGCTCATTACTGTTTATTACTATAAAGCGACTGGTTGTTTGAATCTTCTTGAAATTTAGAAGAGCTTACATTTCTTAACTAACTTTTTATCTCTGTTGATAAAATAAAATAAAAATGTGCCTTTCATCGTGCTGTTTATGTTCCCCTGCCCTACTTTTACCACACCGTTTTAGGAAACGCGTGAGGGACCGGAACCCCGTGAGACCTGATCCAAGCACCCACTGGACTGCCACATTTTACTCAGTTTGGGACATACCAAACAAAAGGTTTTTGCTGCAGATTATCCTCTAAAGCCCTGGAATTAAAAAAAAAAAAAAATTAATATTATTTTTGTCAAAAGTGAGAAAATCGGCGGGAAAACCCCATCCTGTCGGAYACCAAAGGGGCTGCGGAGGAACTCAACAAAATGGCGGCGGGGAAAACGCGGGGCGTCCCTCAGGGGGGAGAGCGGCCCCGGGGCGCTCAGGGCACCCTCTGCTTTTAGTGGGGCCATCAGCACTGGGAAAGTCACCAAAACGCAGCGGCCCCACATCCTCTAGGGCACTGCCAGAAGGGAAAGGGCGAGGAGCCGTCCAGAGCCTCACCCGACATCGTCAAGTGAAGGGGACGGAGTCCCGCTCACCGCCGGCCGCTGCCCCTCACAGCCGGCCGTGCCCCGCGGGACAGCCCCGCGTCCCGGGACAGCTCAGCCCCGCCGCAGAGTGCGGAAAGACCGGCAGGTGCCACCTGCCCGCCGCCCTCCGTGCCGGGGTGGTGGGAGCCGGGATGGTCGGGCAAACCCGGAGCAGGTTCAGCGGCCGGGAGAAAGGGCCGAGTCCATTCACCCAGCGGAACAACCGCAGAGCCCGCCGGGCGGGCGGGGCGCTCCTCTCGCTCAGGGACACATCGGCGGGGCGAATGTCCCCCCAAAACCACCCGTTTGCCTGAACAGCGGGAGTTATGAGGGAAAGACCGGCATTTCTGAGGGCTTCGGGCGAAAAGCGATGAGGATGCTCCATCTACCGGGGGCAGCGCGCAGGCGGGCGGGCGCCGGGCGGGAGAGGAGGCAGCGCCGCTGGAACGGGACATCATCTCCTGGAAATCTCCCGGGGGTTAATTACACACATTCGCACTCCCGGTTGTGACACAAAAATAAGGAGGCGCAGAGTATAACGTGCTTTATCCACCTTCCAGGTCCCCGCTGGGGAAAAAACAGCCTAAATCCTCCTTCCCTCATTCCCTCAGAGGCCCGGTCCTCAGATAGTTTAAAAGGGCATTAAAGCATCTCCCTTCTCATCCCGGAGCAGTGCTTCRCACTAAGGATGCTGCGGAATGCGGYCGCTCSYTTCAACTCAAGTTGCACTAACAAAATCCTGYGCGTTTATTTATTTATGGAAGTTCAACAATACAAGGCAAAAGTGCACAGCCCGGAGCATGCAAGAAACTGGAACATGATGCTTTCCTCMACACTGGGTTGTTTCTTCCTCCCTMTTGAGATTTCTGAGGCAGAGGATGGATTTAAGATTATCAATAAGCAAAGGAAGAAAAATGTGTGGCAGGGTACAAGCTGGAGGAAAAAAACTCCATCAACCAATGAAAGAAGAAAGGACAGAGAAACAGAAACAGAATGAAGAGAGACACACAGAAAACTCTCTCTGCCAACTGCAGCCCAGTGTCAGTCAGATGCGATGCTGCTTTCGGAACAGTCAATTCAACCAACAAGAAATATAGCTTCAAAGAGAAATAGCTGATCCACCTGGCTTCAGGTCAGAGATGAGGAAGGGAAATAAGAAAGAGAGGGATATGGAAAGAGGCATGTTCTTTTGGAAACTAGATGTTTGCGGCCTCTYTTCAGTGCACCCCGCTGGTGGTGAGGCTTTGTCCTTTCCAGGAATATCTCCCACCAATTCCCCTGCCTGTCCCTGAGGGTGAGAGCCACCTCCTTGCCTGCTCCCTATGGACACTAAATCCTAGATGCCCCTGGAGCTCTTAATTTGGCCCTCCGTTTTCCCAAAACATTAAATATTTTCCCAAGGAGAAATTACTTCAAAGCTTTGTTCTGCATTAAGCAATTCCTTAAAGGTCCTCTAAACGTCTCAAAACTGGAATTTCACAGCAGAGTAGCTGGTAACTTTAGTGATGCTCATTAACACRTCCTGGTGTCTCAGTAATGGTGCCAGCAGAGTCTGAGGTTCGCACAGATCCAAGGACCCYAGTTCACCCGGAAGGTGGTCAGTCAGTTCAACAGGCTTTGGATAAAGCCGGAAGACTTCCCGATTAATTCCTCCTAGGGTCTGTCCCTACCGGGGTTTGGCAGGGCCCAGGAGCTCCTTTAMCCATCTCTTTATTACAAGGACTCCCAACCAGAGGTTTTCAGTGCACCCACCAAAAAAAAAAAGGCCTTCCGAAGCTGCAAAAAGGGGAGCTTTGTGTCCCGCTGGTTCTGTCTTGTTTATTCTCAGTTCCAACAGAATCCGTCTAAAAAATCCCCAACTCACCCCAAAGTTATAAACAACCACTTTCAGTGCCGATGGCAAGCAGGAAGAGCTCTTTCATAGTATCATCTCTAATCAATGATGAATGGATTGCATTACTCTCAAAAGAGACGTGGTTAAGTCAGGGCTCAGAAAAGGCTCCCAA